CATGTGTGGGTTCCGGGGACAGGGATGGCTCAGGCATGATCCCTGGAGGGAGAGTTCCTGCTTGTTTTTTAAACCATTCTTATGTTATTAGTATATTTTACTATGTTCTTGTTTTGTATTAAATTTGTGTGGTTATCTTACGCACCATTAGTCAAGTCTTGAAGACTGAAAATAAGTCTTTTCCTGATTCTGTTTATGGATAATAATGTCTGGGTAAATATTTGTGAAATGTATTAAATTGAACCAAAAATAATATAATTTTCAGCTGATAACTACTAAGTCCTGTGTGAAATTTTCCTCTTAGGCTTCACGTCAATGTTTGTTAAGCCTAGTTCCATCAAAAGCTCACCCATTATGGGTTTCTTGGCAGAGAAAGAAGTTGAAAAGTAGGTCAGGTAAGCTATCTTTATTGGTTCTAGTCCATTCATTAGTTTCTCTTAGAGGAAGTAGGTGTGAAGCAGGAAACCTGAGGCAGGACAGAGCATTATAGCATCTATATATATAAAAGGCTAAGTGACCAACCATCTGTCCATCTGACTGTCCAACCGATTGACCAGCTGGTACATCTGATGCACACTGTCAATTTAAAAATAAACGTTGACTCGCGCATGCACAATACAGATACTAGTAAAGCTCTTGCTGGTGCCAATCGCACACGTGTGTTTCCGTCTATCATTGTCGATCATGAATTTGGTTGTTTTGTTGACATTCTGAAGATCAAAGAAAGCGACATTGTCGACAGAATATGTCTGAATTTTCTTTCATCTCTGACACTCCTATTATAGAGAAACAGCAAATAGCAATATTAAAAAATTTCTTCTAATTAATTTCCTTTCAATGTATACGAATCCATGCCCTGGGCCACGAGTCCTATATAATAAAGAACTAATATGCTAATTAGACTGAACAGCAGAATGACCGTCTGGACAACCTTCCAGATGAAGCTGGGGCTGCGAGGGCTGGTCGGGGCTGCGAGGGTTGGTCGAGGCTGCGAGGGATGGCTGAGGCAGCCAGGGCTGTGAGGGCTGAGCCCCTTGCACGAATTTCATGCATCAGGCCTCTAGTTACTTAATAAAAGAAACAGCTTTTTAAAATCCAAAGCATTTGCATGGTTCCTTCAACTTCATTATGACGACATCTCTCCTTCATGTATTAGTTGATTGTTAATTGTAGATACTTAAATAGCCAGTATGCATTAATTCTTAAGTAGAAACACCAAGAGATTCAGACACCTTTAAAAACTCAGGTTCTATTTACCTACTACAGCTTTCAAGTATGGTTCTATGCATACTGTCTGTCTTTAGTTTCAAGTTGAGAGGTGGGACACTTGGAATCCATAGATCCATTTAAGGGTATTTCTAGTTTGAAATCTGTATAGAGTTCTTATGACCTATGGCCCACTGGTCACTTCTCTACCAAAAACGCAAATTTAAAAAAAGTACAAATACCATTCTTTTGTTTGTATGTGTGTGCATGTAGATTAGATTTTTGTCCTGAGCCTTAATTTACCAGTAAAGTTTAAAAAGTTAGGCTAGCATGCAACAAAAAATTTGATATTACTTTGTATATGGGGAACCAAATGACTATATATGTACCAGGAAATCATATACTTGTTCAATTTATTTTTAAAACACATAGTGTTTATACTCAGTTATACTCTGTATTCAGGTACCCTTTCTAAGTACTTTAGAAACATTGTCCTCATAATAATCATATGGGATTGGTACTATCACTTCATTTTACAGGTGGGGAAACTGAGGCACTGAGAGTTAAAATTATTTGTTCAAGGTCATTTAGCTATTGAATGTAAGGACTGGAATTTGAACCCAGGTCACCTTGCTCTCCTCATAACCACTGTCCTTTCAAAGGAATTGCATTGACCTAAGGCTACTCTGTTCTGCTGGTGAGAGTTCTGGTTAGGGAGAGTGCCTTTGGGGATTAGTCCTAGGTAAGTAATGTTCCATTTCTTTTGATAGTTTTATCAAGAATATCTATTAGGTGCTTGATTATATGGGATATGTACCAAATGCTTCTTGAGTCTGGATAGACTGAGAAGATAAGAAGTAAGTGTCCACCTCAGGTGTATTTATGTTCACTGTTCACATAAAGATTACCAAAAGATAAGGGACTATGGATACTTTACCCGTCTATAGTGCTTTTAGAATTCACATTCGTTGCCTTTGCTCCTCACACCAACTCTGTGTTTCACAGGGCAAATATCAGTAGTTTCAGTTTAATGATGATAAAACCGAGGCTCAACGTTTTAAATGACTTTCCAAAAATCTCAGATGGTGAGCAACAGGGTTAGGCCTCTAATCCAGTTCTCCTGACTCCAAATCCAGTGATCTTTCTCCTATATTAAATCCCCTTCCTAGAATCTGAACTTTGCTGTTACTTTGGCAACAGTGCAGAACATTGAGTGCCTAGAAACCATGACGCTGCCTTCTCTGTGCCACAAAGTTAAAAGTTTTACTTACTGGTAGGTCATTAGCCATTAAACCCTTTGCTAGATCCCTTCTTCATGTGCTTCATCTTAACTCTTGTTAAACCCAGTACCCTTGTCACCAAAAGCTCCCTTTTGATGGGCTTGTTGGCAGATAGATCAGGCATGCTGTCTTTTCTGGAATGTCCAGACATTCTGTTTCCCTCGGTCCTGGGTTTGGAGTAGGAAGCGGGAGAGACACCCAGTAACAGCTTGGAGTGAGGCCGTTTCCCAAACGTGGGCCTCACATTCCACCTCTGACAGAGCCATTTCCCTGTCAACAGCTCTTGTGAGGTGTGGCTGTTTGGCAAAGGTGAAGGGCCTTTGCCTTCTGTGGGTCTGAGGTTACAAACTCTGTCGAGAGTGGTTCAGACAGGGAATAGTCCTGATTTCAGAGGGAGGAGCCGTGCCCTGGGAGCTCACTTTTCATCCAGCTATGAAGTTCTGAAGAGTCAGATGGATGATCAGATTTTGAGAAAACTTTAACTGCTAGGTCATTCACGATTTTGTCAGCAGGTGGCACTGCTCTCTTTACGCACCAAACAGCCTCTCCAAGAAAAGAAATACTGCAACTGAGTTCCTCAGACTTGCTCAGCCAGCCCCAAGTACTTCTCCTCAGTTCCCTGTAGTAGCGATTTAGTGTACAATAACCCGAGTATACTCTGTAATGTATATATGCTCTCTTTCCATAAAGAATTTGAAATTGCTTATAACATACAGTATAGGAGGAAATGGAGGCTATAGTTTGCAATAAAGAAGATATAATTTGATTCTGGGTTGCAGGTAGTTTGAGGAATTGTAGGATTATTGGGAGCAAGTTTCTGCTGTACTCATCTCTCTAACCTAATTTATAATGTATTCCTGTTCTGTTCAATCTAAGCAGTACTTTTACTACCCTGCAGCCTCAAGGCTGCACAATCAGCATTCCTAAACCTATAAGCTTCCATTTTTTCAAGATGCGGGCCTCAGCCATTCATTCATCCTATACAGATTGAGCTCTGGCTGTCTCCAAGGCCTGGTCCTGGGCATTGAGACCACAAGTATATCCATTAGGTAGCCTTGACTGTGCCCAATCAACTGACAATAGGATTCTCATCTCTCCGAGAAGAGGGAAGTCCTACACTTATACTCATTAAGATTAGACAGCGATTGCTAGCAATGCTATAATCAAATGCTAAATCTTTGTGATGAGTCTCAACAGGGATCTAGGATTGCTTTTGCTTATATAAAAAATAAATTAAGTTCCATCTCGTTCAAGTTTCTAACAGAAAACCAGGTTAAAACTGCGGCTTCAATACAGTTTGTAAGGACTGGCTTGGTCCACAATAGCTGGGTAGCCCGGGGTGTGGGGAGGCTGGGCGGAGGGCCCACGCAGCCTCCAAGTCCTTGGCGTCTCACCCCGCCCATTGTTGTCCGAGTCCGAGGTTCGGACGAGGATCGGAGGGGAGTGCGGGCCGGGCGGAGGGCTCCAGGGAACCAGCCTCAGGAATCCAGCTCCAAAGTTGCCCCCGACCCCCACCCCCGGCTCCCTGCGCCCGAGGGGTCCTGAGCCCGGGGCACGTGGCAACCG